CTTGAGATAATTGCATCCAGCTGCTGCTCGTCACGACACGAGCATAAGTAGGCAGCAGGTGCAACGCATATTCAGCTTTTCGCTTCGAAGCCGAGCAGTTCTATTGTTCTGCTCTGCCTATCATCCGAAGAGGATTCTGAACGAGTCTACGAGCTCTCTGGGAAGAGGCTTCTTCAACTGGTGTTGGTGTGACGGCGCTGCAGCGGTGGTTCCCCTGTGCGCTTCGGCACTAAAAGAGCTAATTTCCTTAAAAGAGCATACACGGGTGCGTCTTTATAAAGACGACGGTGCGTCTTTCTAAAGATGCCATTTCACCCGTTCATTTCTGGATGCGGTCATTACCTGGCGCCGGATGACAGTGACGATCATTGCCTCATGTGTTTGGACATTAAGCACGCTGAGGCTGCTTTCATGGATGAGTCATGCTCTCACTGCGGGAGGATGACCATCTCGGCCTTGCGGTCGAGACTCCAATACCTCAGGAGAGGTGGAGTCCCCTTATCTATGCCCCGATCTATCTCTTCTTCTGTTCCACAGAAGAGGGCTACTTTGGCGAATAGACAGGGTGACCTGAGGGTTACAGTGGGGGCAAACCCGCCGAGTAAATCTCTGTGGGCCCCCCATTCCTCTAGCATGCCGCAAGCTGTGGAGCTTCCAGGTGAACGTGCCGGTCCTTCTCATGGGGGACCAGCCGATTCATTTGGTGCTCCTCCGGATGACCAGATGTCGATTGCGGCATCGGGGTCTGGGGATGAGGACTCGGCTGCGTTGCCCCCTCCTGGGAGAGTGGCGTTGCCCAAGCCTGACCCAGAATTGACGGCTATGCTTTCCCGGGCTGCCGCGGTGATCGGACTGGAGCGGAAAAGCCGCTGGACAGGCTGCCTCTGCCCTGCACGCCATGGCACTCCTGCAGGTATACCAGGCCAAGGCACTAAAAGAGTTACACGAGGGTAGTTCTGACCCAGGGCTGACGCAGGAGCTGCGCACAGCAATGGGCCTCGCCCTGAGAGCGACGAAAGTCACTGCGTGCTCCCTGGGTCAGACGATGGCCACGTTGGTGGTCCAGGAACGCCACCTCTGGCTGAACCTGGCGAATATGCGGGAGACCGACAAATATCGTTTTCTCGACTCCCCTATCTCCCAGGCCGGCCTATTCGGCGATGCAGTCGAGAGCTTTGCCCAACAGTTCTCGGCTGCCCAGAAGCAGACGGAGGCTATCAAGCACATCCTGCCCCGGCGGCCCGCTGCTGTTTTCACCCCGCCGCCAGCTGCAGCTGCTCCGCCTGCTCATCGCCAAGGGCGCCCAGCCCATAATTTAACATATTAATAATAAAATAAAACAATTATAGGATAATATTTAAATTAATTTTAAGCTATCTTGCAGCCCCCCTGGAGGATCACTGAGGCCCCCTAGTGGGCCGCGACTCCCCAGTTGAGAACCCCTGCTGTAGATGGTGAGTCTTTAGGAAAGCACGACCTGATCATCAGGTTCCTGAGGGGCGCGAGGAGACTAAATCCTCATCGCCCTAACCCCGTACCCTCTTGGGATCTTTTTTTGATCCCCCTTTTGAGCCGTTGCAGTCTGCAGAGCTGAGAACTCTGTCGATAAAGATAGTGCTCTTAACTGCGCTGGCCTCCATCAAGAGGGTAGGGGACCTGCTTGCATTTTCGGTCAACGAATCGTGCCTGAAATTCGGGCCAACTAACTCTCTCGTTATCCTGAGACCAGGATATGTGCCCAAGGTTCCCACCACACCTTTCAGGGATCAGGTGGTGAACCTGCAAGCGCTGCCCTCGGAGGAGGCAGACCCAGCCCTAGCTTTGCTGTGTCCCGTTCGCACTTTACACATATATGTGGACCGCACGCAGAGCTTTAGGACCTCAGAGCAGCTCTTCACCTGTTACGGAGGCCTGCAGAAGGGAAAGGCCTTGCACCCTCGGGTTGAGAGCACACTCAACAAGGAGTGTTGCTTCTTCCTGGGCGTACATATATGACAGATATATGTAGAGCTGTGGGCTGGGTGACACCAAACACGTTTGCTAGGTTTTATAGCCTTCATGTAGAGCCAGTGTCCTCTCGTGTACTCGCCTCGAGTAGCCAGTAAAACCAGAGGAACTGCTCGGTGTCTCGCTTGGTGCGCCATTCCCCTCTACAGACCGGATACGTGCGCTTATTCTGCTCTTCAGTTCAGTTCCCCACAAGGCGAACCCTGTGGAGTTCCTCCATCACCCTTGGCATCCAGACGTGGCGGAGCGTCCGGCATCAGGCCTAACACTTGTAAGTATGCCTGTTGGTTGACCCCTGTGCTAGGCTAGGTGTCCATATGTTGTGATCCCCACGGTGATCCCATGTGTGTATTCTTCCACGGTACGGTTCCCCTCTTGGTGAGCCCGTGTCTTTCCCTTGGCAGACTCCGCTCTGCTGTCCCTGACGGTGTTGCCTCCCTCCTAACTGGGCCGGAGCCTCCTCAGAGACATTCCATATGTTGTACTGCCCTTAATGCCCAGTCCATTTGTGTAATCTCCACATGATACCTCCCTGTGAGCAGGATGTGGATTCCGCAGCATCCCTGGAAAGGGTACGCTTTCCCAGTGTTATCCAATAAGTCTTACTGTATGGGTCTAGTAAAACAACAGTAATAGACTCTCTCCACGTAAGCCCTGTCCTATCTTCCGCCCCAGTTGCCACGGGGGGACCAGGTGGCTTACTAGGGCTTACAGCAGTAGTGGCGCTTTGTTAGGGATCCCAATTCGTCTGTCACCGATGTGACTCGGAGTGACCGACTGAAAGGGAACGTCTCGGTTACGTATGTAATCCTCGTTCCCTGAAGGAGGGAACGGAGACGTCCCGTCGCCACAGTTGCTGTACCAACGCGGGGCGCCGAGTCATTGGCTCAGCTCCTCAACAAAAACCTGAATATGCACCAGCTGCCTACTTATGTTCGCGTCGTGACGAGCAGCAGCTGGATGAAATTATCGCATGCCAATGTGCACTGGCTCGTTTAATTTACACTCGAAGATGATAGGGCTCTCAGACGAAATCCCAATTCGTCGGTCACTGATGTGACATCTCCGTTCCCTCCTTCAGGGAACGAGGGTTACATACGTAACCGAGACATTCACCATTACTAAATGAAGGCATTTTTGGTGCAAGAAACTTGAATAGCAAATAGTGGACACAAATGGAAAATAAATATAAAATCAAATGTCAAATTTGACATAAGTGTATAATATGGCCACTCAAATTATAATCTGGAATTTGAATTGGTGTACTTATTTGTTTATTTTAAGGTGAGCTCAGTGAAGTATAATTGAAGTGTAAATAAATTAGCATAAATCAGCATATTTGGACTTGATTTGCTTGTCAAAACCTGTCAGGCCCTGAACAGCACACCTGTGCTGTTTGAGATAAAGCGGAGGACTTTGTCACGTCTGGCATCTTTCACACCTTCAGTGATGTGTTCATTTATCACCGTCTCGCCTGTGTTTCTTCAGCAAACCCGTCACCTCTGCCCCATCACACCCGGAGAAACCCAGCACGGCAAGTGCTGCCATGGAAACGCCGCCAAAGAAGCCCGTTGGCACGGAGACCAAGCGAAGGTTAGGCTCAGTCACTCTCTTGGTGATTCATTTGGCATAAAAATTTAACTTTTATGTTGCTATTCTCATTAATGTAATAAAGTGAATATTATTAACTCTCTCCCTGCCAGTGTTTTGTTTAAAAAAAAGCTGCCAGCCACCGCCAACTTTTTTGATGGCTCCCAGAATATTTAGTTGTATATCTGAAGTTGTAAAATGCAATATGGCAAACGAAAGAACAGAGCCTCTGCTTTTCCCTAGTGAAAAATAAATATACTAATATGTATGTGAAATACATTTATTTCATGCTAAGTATACTCCAAATACATTTACATATTAAGTCTGCTAAATTGGAACAACTATGTTTGTGCTTAATGCACTTAATTTTGTGAAGTAGTGCTGAAGTCCATCTAAAGATATACTGAAGTATATTTGATTGTGCTGAAGTGGAACTATACTTCAGGTACACTTTAAATATCTTGCATTTAAAGACAGATATTATTCATAGATTATACAATCCTTATTAATAGTGATATTAAAACACATTTTAGTTTAGGCATAATATTAAGAAATGTGTGTTGTGCACAAGTAGTTCTCCAAATAAAGTTTAATTAAAATTTTTATATCAGTAAGTCTGGTATGTCAGTAAATTTGTTAATAGATTTGAACTATACTCAGTAGGAAATAAATGTATTTTAAATTTATTATTTTTTACTAGGGTTAATTAAAAAAAGAAACCTTTTTATTTTAGTCTAATGCATTCTTATCAGCACTTGAATGTGGGTAAGTTTAATAATAATAATAAATAAAAAAACGCAAGATGTTGAAAAAAAAAATCTGAGAAAATGGTGTTTGTGTCAAAGTTTTTGTCCGGATTGGATTCAGATCAATAATCAAAACATAGATGGAGTGAGTCAATTGCTTCCATCAGCACCCCCAAAAGCTTCACAGTCCGGAACCACTTCTTGGGTCAACAATTCATTCGGTAACGTTAGACGGTTGTAAAAGTGATGATTTTACAATTTAAATAATATAAGAAAAAGTAATTATGTATTATAGTAATGAGAATGAAATTGTTTTACATTGCCGTAATGAGAATGTCAGGGGGAAATGTGTTGACAAGATAATGTCACATTGCAATAAAACCTCCTAACAAAGACTTAATTGTCTATGCAAAAAATAAAAATAAAATAAACATCAGGTCTGGACGGATGCAGACTGCTGTCCTCTGACAAACACACACACACACACACACAGCTGTCCTTAACTCTGTCTAACAGGCTGATTCATTATTTACTCAGAGTAAAATGATTTTTCTCAGTTGTGTTGTTGACATAATGACCTGTTAGTCAACAAGCTTCATTTTCACCCAAACATATTGCTGCAAACTGTTGCGATGACTTAGGAAGGTCGTGCCATCGCTCACTATGTCACGACAGAGATGCTTTAAACAACATCTCTGAAGACACACGTTTATTTATTCTGAGATTGCATTTCTCCTGTTCAGCTGTTCACAAATATCCTTGAGAAATTTCTGTTCATTTTACCGAAAGGATTTGCATAATGAGCTTTATATTACACACAAAATATATGCAAAATCATACCTTGGCCATAAATACTTGTTAGGAATTGTGTGCAAAACATGCAGAATAGATGATCCTTATATGAGCTACAGTAGTCTTGCCCGACACACTGTGTAGTAAGCCATTCAGAGCTGCGGCTGCGTTCGAATTGGAATACTAGCTTGCTGCATACTGTGCAGTATATGCTTTATACCACCTACACAGTCTGATGTCACATGATGAGTGTTGTCCAGTTTTCATCTCGGAAAGAAAAACAGCTGTTCTCACATGCAGATCTGGGGTGTTGTAGTCAGTTTGTAGTTTGCAAACTATACACACTACATACAGAATAGTAAGAGTAGTATGGTAGTGCTCTATTCTGAACAGAGTTGCTGTCACATATCCCATCTGCCTGTGTGTCTTGCTCTGATGATGTTCTCCCTCAGGGTTGGTCGGCCCTGTAAAGTTCGGAAGGTCGAGGAGCTGCCGCAGGAAGAGGAAGTGGAGAGTGAGGTGTCATCAGTCACCGAAACCAAAGGTAGATCTACTCCACCCTCACTGTGTGTTCATATTATATTTGATTGTCACTTGGTGCATGTCAGGATTGAGCCTTGAAATGAAAACAAGAATTACAATCCTGTTTGACTGAAACCGAATCAGATTTATTGCAAAGTATGTTTACACACACTTCGTGACAGAAGCTTCAACAACTGCAGTAAACAACAATACACAGATAGTAAAAAGTAAAGACAAGTGAATAAAGAGGCATAAAGAGAAAAAAAAAAGATAAATGAGCAGCGTCGTTTAAAGTGGTTTTAATAAATGTGGTGATAGTTACTGTAATCACAAATCTAATAAAAGTATTGTAATAAAAATAAGAGAAATAAGATGTTCAAAGCCTGATGGTTTAAGTGTAAAACATGAAAAAACTACATGCCAATGAGGAAAAACACACATAAGAGTTCAGGACACACACAAAAAAAATTGGTTCTTCAGTGGTTCTTTGTGGTAGTTGAGGTGCTATATAGGTTCTTTGGGTCGTAATCATAGGGGAACCAATTTAAGTGCTATATAGCACCTATAAAGAACCTGTAATGGTTCTTCAGCGGTTCTTTGGGGTGGTTAAGGTGCTATATAGCACCATCTTTAAAGATATAGGTGCTATGTAGCACTTAAAGTGGTTCACCTGAACATGTAATAGTTCTTCAGCGGTTCTTTTGGGTGGTTAAGGTGCTATAGCACCATCTTTAAAAATATAGGTGCTCTGTAGCACTTGAAGTGGTTCCCCTATGATTACGAGTCAAAGAACCACTTTTAGTGCAATTTAGCACCATTTTTTTTTTTTTGAGTAACCAAATTACCCAATCTTGCTTCTGTTTTAAAGACATTTACTGTGTAATAATATCAAGAAGTGGGCAAACAGGTTTCATATACGAACATATGTAAAGTTTGAGGAAGTACTGCATTGAAAAAGTGGTAAACTAGAAATAAGATCTAAATTAACTGGTTTTGTTTAAGTCAGAAATATTATTTCACATCACCGAATCAACCTAAATACAACTATACCAAACAAAACAAATCTTTACGTGTTCACAGTAACAACTGCAGATTACCACGTTGTACAGTTTGTGAAGAACGCCCTCAGAATCGGTGTCTGAAGCATGAGAAACTCAATGTTGTGATTCACAGATGAGCTGAAATCATTTCAGTTCATCACAACTGCTCTATTTCTTTCTGTGATGACTCACTCCTTCTCTCTTTCTGCCTTCCTGTTTCTTGCTATGTCTCTTTCCAGAAGTATTGGTCTCACCTTCTTCTTCTATGGCTGGTTATCTAAAGGTTTAGTGGCAGACACTAATGAGGAAGAGGGCTGGACTCAAACCGCGGGTTCTTTGTTCCTCGGCTTAAAAGCTTTTTAACTTGGTCCGGTCACAGGCGTCAAAGACAGTCTGAGAATAAAAGATGCGAGAACCTCAGCTTCTGTACTTGGATGCGAGTGGTAATCTACCGGGGTTTGAGCCATGGATAATTGTAACGTGAGAAAAAATTATGAGGACGTTGAAGATCTCAACGGAGAAGATGTTTATTGCAGCATAGCAGTGACAAAGTAGAAAGCAGACAAGTAGAATCACTTTTTATCTTGCAACATTTTTTGCATTTATTCATTTATCAGGTGCTTTTATTTTATGTGACTTGCAAATGAGGAATACAACATAAGCGTTTCATCCTGAGGAGGCAGTAATAGAGTAGTTCTGCAATACAAAGGTTTTTATGTTCATAAAGTGAAGAGAGGTGAAATGTGCATTCTCTTGGGCTCATTAAAGACCAAAAGAAATGCTGCATTTTGAGTCATTTGCCGAGTTTTGGCTGAGGATTACTGTAGTAATGCAGTATAGGGATGACAAGAGTCCAGACGAGGAGTTGTGTATAAAAAGACTTGATCTTCTTGATGAATGCAAATCAGCACGACTGGGCTGCAGGGCTTGTGGATGCAACAGGTTGATGTGGCTTTGACTAGATACCCTGATGGATCTACCTGTGAAGCAGGACTCGGAGCAGCAGAGCGCAGTTGCTGTGATGTCCGGTGATAGGAGGATCTGGTGATTAATGGTGTCGCGAGCTGCTGGCGGATCCACAGAATGAGGACAGACAGTTTGGAGGCAGCTCCTGCAAGCCTTGGGGATTGTGTGGAGGTTTAGAGTGGGTTTTAAGCAGTGGAAGCCTGATTGAGTATTTTGGGGAAAAATGCCAGTGATGAAGATGTGTGTGAGTGTTGGCCAAAAACATTTGGACTGAACTGGCCAGGAGCAGGAGACTGTGTACACGTGTGAACATATTGATATGTGTGCACAGGGGTGTTTGCTTGAATATGCATATGGTTAATCCAGCCCTGCCCTGGAGTTAAACGAGACTGTGGAAGTTACTGAGTAAATGGCTCATTACCACTATGCAGTACATTCCCCATTATACATGCGTTGACATATTAAAAATAAAATGTTAAACTTATAAATTTTTTTCTTTTAGCACATAATCACAATTAGATGAGCCTGAGGGTGACCCAAAAATGGAAATTCTGATTGATAGTATTCAGTAATATTATCAATTTCACTGCACTGACACTATCGGAAGGGAACTAAATTTGAACTGAATTGAGCTGGACAATGACACTAACTTTGCAGCATCAACACTGTTAGTAAACTCAATTGAACTAAAGTGAGCTGCATAATGACACTATTATCTTCTGTAGAGCTGCTTTACAGCTAAATTGAATTTTTCATAATTGATTAATTTCAATTTGAATGTAATTTTACATTAACAGTTATTTTCCCATTTTCTTAATGTGAAGATGCTTTGAACCAATCTGTACCGTATAAAGCTCTATACAAATAAATGTGATTTGACTTTTGCACTGGCATCCCATAATGTATTCTGTGCTGAGAATGAAAAAGCACAGATACTCTTCCCGCAATAACGCAATTATATGAAACAAACACACTGCAGTGACAGTACCTGACATCTGCACTCTCTTTGCTGCTTCATTTGTCTTTTTGAGTTTCGCTTGTGAGTTTATGCAATTTTTCATTGGAATACACTGGAATGCATTAGAGGGTGATTTAGGAGAATTTGATCCAGGTCTAAAAGACTGCAAGAGCAAACACAGTATTGCCACTTAGATATCTAGATGTATTCAACAGCATGTTTTTATGAATTCTCTCGAGGAAGTGCATTTATGACAGCTAATGACATGGATAGAGCCATTATCAGAGACGATTACAGTGTTTATATAACAGGCATCAGATGGTGCCCACCGGCTATGTGCTCCACTAATTAATGTCAGAAAGTGAGCAACCATAGCCTCATAACTCTGCTGTGAATATTCAACCATTGACCTCTCTGGCTCACCACAGTGTCATTTAGAGAACTCTTTCAAAATGCCTGTACTTTAGTACAGGCATGTTTTCTTGAGAAGTCATGAAGGAGTGAATATAAGGGTGCTGTCACACTTGATCCGAACCTGAGTTTGATTGCTCCCCCTCCCCTAAGGGCTTTTATTAAATAATAAAACAAAAACTACCCTCATGGGGGAATACTCTGGAAAGGCAAGGCAAGATAGGGCAGGACAAGACAGAAGACACAACTAGAAACCAACAGTACCTTAGGAACTTTAGAGCGAACCCCAACACTAAACTATAACTAAACTAGACAGGAGTGCTGGAATCCAAACACCACAGTATGCACACATAACAAAGCACATATTATTGGAGGGACCAGGGAGGATCCGGTGCATCGGGAGTCCTAGTGGATGGCCAGGGCAGAGCCGGAGGGACAGACCATGGTTAGCTTCGGTGGGTCAGGAACAGTGTTGGGCAAGTTACTCTGGAAATGTGATTAAATTACTGATTACTGATTACTCCTTTTAAAAGTAATCAAGTTACTGTTATGATTAATTTATTTCAAAAGTAGTTAGTTACATTACTAGTTATGCTACTTTTTTTTCTGTACATCCATGAAATTGACATGTAATAGTAAGTTTTGTGTCACCTAGCCACAACAACGCTTCCGATAAATATTTGTTATTAAAGCATCAACAATCACAAACCACTTTTATTTTTAACTAAATGCTAGCAGCGTACGGCTGCTGCGTACATGGTTTGGCATGGAAGAATGCCAGGAAAGAGCGCTCCCTTTATCTCAATTCACAAAACTCTGTTATAACACAATAAATGTATGCATAATGTCTGCAATTCGTGTGTTATAATGAGAGGATTCGTGAGCACGCAAATTGCAGCACTGCGCAGGAACTCCAGCGTTTTGAACGGTGAGTGGATTCTAACACCTCTGACTGGGCAATGCGTTCCAGAAATCGACATTGCTCAACGCTGCAAACACATGTTATAACAGAAACTCTGCCTATGCTTGCGCTTGTTAATCGTTTTTGTTTTATATTAGTTGTTCTTGTTGCTTTTGTGCAATGGATGAATAACAATTTATTTGTTTTTAGATATTTTATGTTTATATATGTCTATTTTGCGGGAGTCCTGCGAATCATTTTATTCTCCCGCATCCCGCACACACACGAGTCTCTACGCACTCAATCATCAACTCTTGTCCCGCACCGCCCTCTGTTGTGTTGGGTCCAGCAGGAGTGCAGGTCTCTAATCCACTGGCTCTGGACTCGACGGTAGAAGCTGATGCATTGCTCTCCAAGCTGGTTCTTTCTCAAGAAGTTTTACTGTGCCGTGCTGCCCTTTCAGGTGTTTTCAATTGGATGTGGAGTTTTTCGTGGTTGAAAGGTTTTCTTCTTCCACATAGGCTAATTGAAAATGCACAATAAGGTTCTTGCCTTTGATAGAAATAAATAGCTATTGAACGCATGCTTTTCTCTGACCATGCTGAGTTTTTCGTTGGTAGTATCCGCCTCGCAGGTGCTTACCTGTCAAGCATGCTGCGTGTGTTACACCCTCTTTACAATCAAACGTGTCCATGTTTACAGAGAAAAAACAATGGAAAAGCAGCGCAAGTGAGTAAAAAACCTGTAACTACTGTATGTCTGATATTTCATGTTTGCATGACAGGCTGAAAGCTGCTGTTGTTTTTACAGGACATTTATAGTTAATAATAGTCTACTTGTGTTAAAAATCGAGAGTCGGTCAAACGTTCTGAAAAAAACAAGATTTAAATATTTTACACAGCCCTACTGGCAAGGCAAGGTAGGATATGGCAGGACAGGACACAACACAAGGTGGTGTGATCGGGAGGAACCAGGGAGTATCCAGTGGGTTGGGAGTCCTGGTGAACAGCCAGGGTGGAGCCGGAGTGACTGACCATGGAGGCTCCGGTGGGTTGGGAACCCCACTGGAGTTGTCAGGGTGGTGCCAGTGGGACAGACCATGATGGCTCCAGGAGATTAGGAACCCCCACAGATGGCTAGGGTAAAGCCAGAGGAGGGCAGAACCTGGACTCCAGGACTGTAATGGATTCTGGGACTGCCTCTGTGGGTGTGACAGGGAGAGCGGGCTGCAAAATAAAACAAAACCTACTCCATAAGGGGAAATACTAGTCAAGTCAAGTAACCTTTATTTATATAGCGCTTTTAACAATACAGATTGTGACAAAGCAGCTTTACAGTATCAAATAGGAAAATAGTGTGTCAATAATGCAAAAGGACAATAGTAAACACTCAATTTTCAGTTAAAGGCAGTTCATCATTGAATTCAGTGATGTCATCATCCAGCTCAGTTCAGTTTAAATAGTATCTGTGCAATCAAGTCAACGATATCACTGGACATTAAGTGTCCCCAACTAAGCAAGCCAGAGGCGACAGCGGCAAGGAACCAAAACTCCATCGGTGACAGAATGGAGAAAAAACCTTGGGAGAAACCAGGCTCAGTCGGGGGGCCAGTTCTCCTCTGACCAGATGAAACCAGCAGTTCAATTCCAGGCTGCAGAAAAGTCAGATTGTGCAGAGGACTCTTCTGGTTCCTGTGGTCTTGTCCCGATGGCCGTCTAGGAGACAAGGTCTTCACTGGAGATCTGTCTCTGGGGCTCATCTAGTTGTCCTGGTCTCCGCTGATATTCAGGGCTGTCGAGGTCATCTCTAGGTGCTGATTCACCATCTGATCTGGATACAGACTGGATCTGGTGGCTACGGTGACCTCGGAATAAGAAAGAAACAGACTAATATAGCGTCTGCTATAGCATATATGCCATTCTTCTTAGGTTGTAACAAGTACATTGGGTGTTATGGGAAGTGTTCCCAGTTCCGGTTGACCTAATTGATGCAGCCTAAAATTCCTTTAATGGATTTGAAATTAGAAACATATTAGTGTGTTATGTGTAAGCCAGGTTAAAGAGGTGGGTCTTTAATCTAGATTTAAACTGACAGAGTGTGTCTGCCTTCCGAACAATGTTAGGTAGGTTATTCCAGAGTTTGGGCGCTAAATAGGAAAAGGATCTGCCGCCCGCAGTTGATTTTGATATTCTAGGTATTATCAAATTGTTTTGAGAACACAGCGGTTGTGGAGGACTATAATGTGATTAAAAGGATTATAAAGAGCTCGCTCAAGTACTGAGGTGCTAAACCATTCAGGGCTTTATAAGTAATTAGCAAGATTTGAAAATCTATAGGACGAATAGGGAGCCAGTGCAGTGTTGACAGAACCGGGCTAACATGGTCATACTTCCTGGTTCTAGAAAGAACTCTAGCTGTAATACTACAGCAAGTCAAGACATGATATGGCAGGACAGGACACAGCACAACTGGGAACCAACAGGATCTCGGAAACATTAGTTCAAACCCCGAGACTAAACTGAAACTAAACTAGACAGGAGTGCTGGGGTCCGAACGCCACGCTCCGCACACACAATATATCACACGGACCAGAGAGCACACAACCCAAACACGCCCTTTGGTGGAGGGCAATGTTGGTGTTGGTGGGAGGGATCATGGAGGCTCTGGTGGGTCAGGAACTCCAGCAGATGGCCAGAGCGAAGCCCTAGGAGGGCAGAATTCTGAGACTGAGACAAAACAAAACTATGGGTAGTGGTTCCTAACTAGGTTCCTGGACCCCCACCCCCCCAACAATGCACATTTGCATGTCTTCACGCTTTGCCACACCAGACTTGTTGCGGGCCTCTGTGTCTACTGGCACTCTGAGTTTTAGGGTGTCACTGGCCATTTGTCACACCTGTTTACATCAAGTCCTACCAATTTCAATTCCTATATCAAGTGTCATATAGAGAAGGTGTGCTTCCAAGAAGACAAAAATACAAGCATACAAAGCTCCTACAGACTAAAAGCACAGCATCCGGACAGGACCCAAATGATGTGCTTAGTCTCTTGTCCAATCATGGCATTTTATAAAAGCAATATGCTACTCAAGGCCATACACTTGAGTATTATACCAAAGTTAAGAGGGTTCCTATTGTGCTTAACCACCTTACATGTGTTAACATCACTGTAATACTGCGTTACCACACCTTGGCTAATTTGTAGAACCTCACAATTGACTTCTTATTTGATATATGTGCAGACTGACTTCGTCTCTGAATCTAATAGTTCTTTATTGCCATTGTATTGAGAAAAACACGTGTTCTGTTTCTTTTTGTTTGCACTTCAAAGAAGGGCTCTGTCAGAGTGAATTAGCCATGAAAGGCAGACAGTGGAGAAGGGTGTTATCTCTCGTCAACGCTGTGCATGCCACTCTAAAGTGCGATTTCAAGTTTTCCTTTCTCTTTGGAGTGTTACAAGCTGTTCGTGAATAGATAATATCCCTAAAGTTGCAAAGACTAAAGTCTCAAACCCAAAGAGATATTCTTTATAAAGATATTCTTAGATATTCTTTATAAAAGTTAAGACTTGTCCACGCCTTGTTTAAACACGCCCCCACATGTCTACGTCACTGTGTGGGAAGATTTGCATAACGCCGCCCAAATGTTCATGCAAAGAAAGAAGGCGTAACTTTGATGCTCGCTGTAGTATTGTTGCCGCCGCCATGTCGTGAAGACGCTGTGTGTTTCGTTGTGAAAGCGAAACTACTTTGTTTGGTCTTCCAAAAGAGGACACGACTAGAAATCAGTGGTTAAGTTGTATTTACAACACTGTTCCAGAACAGTATGGTAAGGGCGTAACATTTCTGTCACACGCTTGAGGTATTCGGCCAATCACAACGCACTGGATAGCTGGCCAATCACAGCACACCTCGCTTTTCAGACCGATGAGCTTTGTAAAAATCGACCCGTTTCAGAAAGGCGGGGCATAGACGAGAAACAATAATGTACATTATGTGGAAAATGTGTTTTTTGAACCTTAAACCGCATAAACACATTTCACAGCAACGTCATATGACCCCTTTAAACTACATCACTACATAGTTTTGTATTGCTTTTAATCTACCTTTATAATTATATTATAATATTATTTAAAGTAATTAATCAGTTAAAATGAGTCTTTAGTTGCAATTTGTTGTATTTTTTTGTAACAAACTTAGTATCCATTATTTTCACTGGGATTGGTACTGAACACTGAGATTGGTATTGTGTTAACATTGCTAGAAATGATTCTGTGTGTCAGCTAATCAGTATGATTAAACATAAATTACATTCTTTATGATTTAATGGAGACTGCACCCATTAGTCCAGACAAGCATAAATTTTAACATGTATAAAGAGTGTATAGGAGTATACCTACATTTACATTTATACATTACATTAATAAATTAACGCTGATGCTTTTATTCAAAGGGACTTACAACAGAGCTGTGAGAGTTGGTCTGCAACATACATGTAACATAAGACACAAGTAGCTTTTGGGCTTTGTGCACAATATTTTGCCAACCCATTTATGTGTAGTATATTGTGACCATATTAGGTATTGTCAACATTAATGGATGTTAATTATTAATATCTTTTATATTTAACTGTGGACTCTAATTTCTGCCTAAAGCTGTAATAATGATAGCATTTTTCTCTAACAATGATACAGCAAAAACAGTGCAGTAAGTATTATAAAAAAAGAGTTAAATTCATTACTCGACAAAAGGAAAACAACCTTTATTAATGTTACTTGGAAATGCATAATAAACCTACTTCAGCTCTGAAATCACTTTGTTCTTTTATCCACCTTGTTAGCCAATGTGCAAATGTTCACCTAGTGTCTAAAATCAAGCCTTTGTTTTTGTTGTTGTTGTTCATTTCTGTGGGCTCCAGATGTAATGTGCATTACAGTTGTCAGTGTTACTTTATACTGCATATTTATCTATATTTGCTTCAGCCTATACCCCATACAGCTGTCTCATACTGAACCGATTACTCAAATCTATCAGTTACTGTATATCTCTGTTATTTATGTTCCAACCAGAGTTTTAATATCTTACCAGTATTGCAGAGTTTACTCCTGTATTATAAAGACATATTTTTGTCTCACTTCAAATTGAATATTTATCTGTTCCTATGATATGTTCCTAACAATTGTTTTTAGTTTTAGTGTTTTTTTGGACACAATAGCTTAATATTTATCAGCCATAACATAATAATAATAATGATTGGCTTATGGATTTCAGCTAGAAATATTATCATATTCCTAATTTATGCAATTGTATAATTTCCCTATATATTCCAAAACATTGTCTTTTACTATGGAATTGACTCTCTCTCTCTCTCTCTCTGTTTCTCTCAGAGCTGACTCTACAGCAGGCTTTGCACCAGTCTGTATTTATGCCGTGTTCCAGCCCATCTCCCAGCATGCCTCACTGCTGGGATCAGCACAGCAAGCTCCTTCCAACAGTGGCAGGCATCACGGCCAGTAAAGTGGCAGCGTGGAGCGTGGATGAGGTACACAGAGCTCCCGTGTGCATCTGCATTTCCCACTTGCTATTCAAATTCAAGACAATTATGCTTTGTTGAATTAATGCAAGTTTTTTTTTTAGGTCAGTTGATTTGTTTTGGGCTCGGTTATCTTCAGCTGTTGCACCTCCTCTAATCCTCATTGTTATTCTGCAGGTGATCGAGTTTATCCAGGGACTTCCAGGCTGCAAGGAGCAAGTGCGCACCTTCAGAGAGGAGGTAAATTATTCCCTTTAATCACGAGTGGAATCAGAACGACTGAATCCTATGAGAAATATTTAACTAGTCCTCCATCATGAGGTTTGGCAGCCGGAGTAACTGAAGCATTTTAGGAACAGAATATAATGCATAAGGAAGAGAGCATGGGGCATGATGGGATATGTGAGGAGATCTCATTTAAACCATTTATAAGCATGTCAAGTCATCCCACGTCACAGCATCATGCTTGTTTACTGCTAGCAAGAATGTTAAAGAGGTCAGGGCTGCTGCTTTAGATAATTCTGCTCTCTGAGCTGATGTCTGTCTGATCTTCTGCTCTTATTTCCCATCTCTCTCTCCTCATGTTCGCTTCTGTGTCTTGTCCTGTGTTTTCTAATTATATTTGCAAATGGGAACTGCATTAATGAGTCCTGTCATACATTGGGGTGTAAATGTCTCAGAGCACTGGTGAATATCATTCTACTTTGTGTTCTTTTATATTATGAAACAGTTTGTTTTATAATATAAAATGCTGATATTTATTAAAACAGCACTGGGATGTTTTACATATCTCTGTTCTGCTTATGGCATTTAGGCGAAATAAGTGGTAATATTATGTTACTTAACATTAACTTCCTGTTTATTGAACTGTTGGTTAAAATCAATGTCACAGTATTGGCATGAGTTTAATTACCTGCAGCCAATCCATTTCACACACATGACCGATTGTGAAAATGTTTTAATTGCATGCAACAGTTTAAAATATATAATATTAGCATAACAGTTTGAGTTTAAAATTGCATTTCACATGCATTTCTGAATGTCTTAGTATCTGTTATGTGCCCTTTTTAATCAATGGCAGCAGCACTCGAAATGTCTTGGATACTTGATTTGTGAAATAGAAATTTGCAGAATCTTTCCTTTTCTGTCATAACCATTATTTGTTTTCCGACTGTAAAATTTCTAACATGTTGTTTATTTCCAGGCCCCAGACTTAGACTTTTGAAGCCCATGAACATTTATCTTATAAGATGACAGCAGCTTTGGATTTACTGAGATTGCACTTGTCTCACATAATCACCCATTCCATTCAGTCATTGTGCTGTGATCTCATTAGATTTATTGCAGTGGTCTATCTAGTGTTCACTCCTCCCAACTGAACCTTTAAGTTGAAAGCACCACTTAAATCTTCATTTAAAACACTGTGTCTATGTTAAAAGTGAAAAACATCAGTCGTGGTGCAGGTGAAGCAGCTGGATGTAGTCTACACTAGATATGTCAATGAGTAATATGTAAGCTTGAAGATATCCTACCTTATTACACGACTCTGTGGAATGCTTAATTCTGATTGGTCAGTCGCGACATTCCGAGGTATGTTATTCCGCGATAACAACTGGTAAAAGGCTCATCCGGTTAACTGCAGTCGGCGCTATACGCTTGCTTGGAATAGTTTTTGTTTGTGGATGCTTTGTGTTCGCTTAGCTAATAAAATATTAATACTCAAAACAATATTATGTACAATTATTAAATTATGTCATTTTGGTATAGCGGACTTGCTCTCTCGTTTCATACAAATGCAGTTGATGCCAATTGTTTTGTACACTGTAATGGATTATAAGATAACTAACAAACTGGTACGATTTTTTCTTCAGCTGCTTTCTTTACGGAAGTTTTGCGTTCAAATAATTTAACTCCGAATCGAGCAACCATGTAATAAGTGGGATAATGTACATCCCGCTGGTTGTCATCGCTGAATAACCCCATAAAAGTGCTGATCACCCTGTCGGGGGTTATTCTGCGATAACAACCAGCTGTATGTGCATTATCCCTCACTGAAATCATAGCTAATTTTCAGTGGAAATCCAGTGGTGTAAAAATGGTGTAACAAGGCACTTCCAGTGTGAACAGATCTGCTTATTATAATGGGAGGATGTGGTTTGTCATTGCTAGGAACAGATGCAATGGTGTTCCTAATTATAGGCTAAAACAAGAGTTCTCCTGTTAGCGTAGTTTAAACGTCATCGGCACCTGAGTACCCTGGGTTCCCTCCAGATCTTCCTATGGGTTTTTTTATAATGGGGTTTTTCCATTATAACAATAACAATAATGTTCCAATAAAACAAGGTCTGAGGTAAATATAAATTAAAGGCGTCATATGATGCAATTTCAAGTTTTCGTTATGTCGTTATGTTTATTTTTAAAAACATATGTTTGTTATAAGTAACTACATAAGAACGTTTGGGGGTTGAGTTTGTGTAATTTACGGTGACATCAAAACGTCCAAATATCATCTGTTTGTGTTTATCACAGACCTCATTTTACACATAAATTAGACAAAACCCATTATAAAAGCCCAGAGGAAGCTCTTGAGGAAACCTGTGGTGAATTAGTATTATTATTACTTTTAGATCACCTTTATTGCCATTTCACTTGGAGTTCATCTTTAAAAACATTAATATCTTAATTATTTAATTATATAAACTTGAATACATTTCAAAATAAACATAAATGTGTCATTCTGCACATTATAATATTATGGTGCTGGTGTTCATTTTAATTTATTTACACAAATGATCATTTTAATATTGTCCAGTTATTGTTTATCATCCATAACATATAAAATAATTATCAACTTCTTGTGTCAGACAGAATTTTAATATGGTGCATCTGTAATTATCTGATCTTTTGGATTGTGTCTATGAAGATCAAAATATGAAGAGAAAATAAGCATTTAGGACATGAAGCACCTTTCATTTATGCAGTATTTTAATTGCTGGATTATACAAATCAATACATTATTATTATCATTTAAAATATAAGACATTTTCCACTGTATTTCAATTTTCATATTTTCAAATGACTATATGGTGATATAAAATCCCCGGATTTCATACAATGCCAAATGTCTCTGTTTGTGAACAGAAATGAGATGTTTGTTCTGTTGCATGAATTTCATCAAGCAGTAGTTTAGGACATTCTGTTTTAACACTGTTGTAGAGCAAAACACCTAGAAATTACACTGAATCAAAGAATTGCACAGGAAATGCATCTTCTTCTCTGACAGCTGTGCATGTTTATCTGCTGATTTGTTGTTGTTTGGTTTCAGCAAATTGATGGCGAGGCCTTCCTCTTATTGACTCAGGTGGACCTGGTGAAGATCCTCAGCATTAAACTAGGGCCGGCTCTCAAAATATACAACTCTATACTAATGTTTAAGACCACAGAAAACTCTGCCTGCAACGAACTCTGACCAGACAGACCGACAGCCAAGAGAGTTCAGAACTGCTTCAGTCAAAGGGCTCATCATGAAGATTCATACAGTACACACCACACTATTATGCATGACCAACACGATGTAGATAATGTCCGAATGAGCAGGTTAAACACATATAATGACATTCAGAATTCATTCAGACAGACAGCACAAGAACGTCTCTGCGCTGTCAGTAATAATCATATTTGTACGCACTTATTAACTCACAAGATGATTTCATGTAGTCCCCTTTCATCATAGTGTCGGGGAGAATGTATATTTTACTGAGGAGTTATGGGAGCTAAATTCAGGTGCTAAACGAATGCAGTTACATGCACTGAAGAGCCGCACAATGTCTGCTTTTGATTCTCGTTGTTTCCGTTACAACTCCTTTAATTCATAGCTGTAGATAATTTAAGTGTTTGGAAAGGTTTCTGGATGGAGGACTAGCAGAATGGGGTTGAATATCCGAGCATTAGATAAACACACGGATCCTCTTTGATTGTTTGTTTCCAGTGTGCTGTGATGCCATATTAATGCATCATGCCACAGTCCTTCATTACGGTTACAGTCATGGATTTTATGAGTGGAGACTAAAGTAGTAGGGTAGTGCTCTTTCTTTATTTGTTTTGATACAATGGATGTAGAAATGGAGAACGGAGAGTAAAACTACACTCAAGGCACAAATAATAATTGTGAGAGCCATATTGGTATTTTGTAATAGAATGTAACTTAATATTCAGAATGCCTTCGTGTGCACAGTGTAAGAAGAAAAGTGTCATTTTTCATTAATATACAAACGTGAGTATTCATTTTATTTCTGTTGCTGAGGTATGCAGCATTAAAAATACATGAAATTTCCCATCTATTTATTTAAGTTTAATACGTTGACTATTTAAAAAACAATGTGCTGAACACGTCATTGTGGACATGTATGTTAACAAACCTAAACAGTTTGTGTTGAAATGCTGTTTTTACTCACTTTTTAAAATGAGTAAACTCACTGCACTCGGCTGGATGATTTCCCATATTCAAAACTCATTTATCATGTCAATTTTCTTCATGCCACTAGAGCATATAATGAACTGTTAGTTTGGGGATTTCAAATTTAAATATAAAATGTGTAAATAAGCAATGGTTTAGAGTGGAAGTGCAGAAACCAGTGGATGGACTACTAAACTTCACTGTAATTCATTTGCAAATAAACTTGCTGATTGAATGGTCTTCGTCAACACAATTGTCTTTTTAATGATTGCATGATTAATATTATAATGTGCCATTTATTTTATTGCTGGTTTATTATTTGATAACATTTGCATACGATAATGCAGTATACCTCTTTAATTGATTTCTTGACTCCTGTTTCAAAATAGTGGGTAATGTTTTAAACATCGGCTGTGTTCAGAATAGCATACTACCCATACTTGCAGTGCAGTTTGTGATTATACTGTATGCATGAATGCCTTGATGGGTTTTGGCAAATCTACTACATTTGCCTAAATGTGCACCATGTAACAGAGCACACTGTATAGAATAAGGTATTCCACAATGTAATGCACCTGACTTTGCATTTCCAGTGTGATGAACAAGAAAGTCATATATGCAGTAGTGTTCTCCTAAACTCATGGTTTAAATGGACTGCATAGACTATTAGTAGACTGCATAAAATATTAGTAAGAACAAACACCACTACTGCCGCAAATGTTTGAGTAGTCACCTATGTATTTTACTATATATATTAGAGCTGTCAGTCGATTAAAAGATTTAATCTAATTAATAACAGGGTGCTGTGATTAATTAATCTAATTAATCGCAAACTAAATTTGGCTGTGAAAATACCCCCAAAAGATCATTTAAACCTATTATTGTGTAAAATGTTTAGGCTACAATGGCCTAACATAAACTAATGGAACATAAAAGAAGATCATTTGAGAAACATCTCAGTATTTTTTGTTCATGCAATGAAAGTCACTAATGGCCAAAACAGCCTAGTTACCAACAGTATTCAAAATACCTCCTTTATGTTGTGCAAAAGAAAGTAAGTCATTCAGGTTTGAAACAACATAAGGGTGAGTAAATGACAGAATTTATTTATTTTTGGTGAACTATCCCGTTAATGTTTTTTTTTAAATAAATAAAAAATTATACTCTAAAGACCTAAAACTACCAGCAGATGGCGGTAAATGTCTTTATGAGTCGATTCGTTCAAACGGCTGATTCATTCAGGAATTCAGTAAACAGCTCTCTCTGTGTGTCACAAAGAACACGAGTGCAAATGTGATTTTATACAACAGTTCAGTAAATAAGAAGTTAATATTGTGCAAAATTTAAACACAATATTGTGCGTTTTTGTTCAATTTTGCCAACGAACATATTACCTATAAAGCCACAGCAGAACTGTTGTGCATCTCCGAGCAACACAGCGATGTTTAGTTTCTGAATGAATCCGCGTTTTGAACGAGTCGTGTGAACTAATGATTCAGTAGCCCATTAAAACAGCACTCATGTGATAATTGCTCTCGCTGCTGGTGTGTTATCGCTTATCATATGATATAAATATGAGACAAAAACTCATACAGGGGCATTTTTTGCCCCAATATCTTGAATTTTTAGGGCATAACTGCATTTATGGAGTTGTTGTCCTGCATCATATTTGTCAACAGTCAACTGTAGGAAATTGAAGATGATGTACAGGTCTGGGGGTGGGGCCAGTGCGTTAACTGCGTTAAAATATTTTAATCGCGTTATTTTTTCATAACTGATTAATCAAGTTAATGCGTTAAACTGACAGCCTTAATATATATATCCGGCGGCCGCATGTGCTCCTCTCTTGGTCCGTGGCGCGATGGGTGGTGGCTTCTTCTGAGCGGCTTCGTCCTCCTTGGCCCACGGCGCTTCCTGGGGATTAAATGGTCCGGCATCCTGGCCCGACAACCGTGTCACGGGTGCGGTTCACATCCGAACTGTGGATCCGGCAGCTGGCGGCACTTGCGGCACAGGAGTCCCTCTACGCACCCTTCCTGGACCCACGAGGACACCAGCGTGCATGCACGGGGAAGAGACCGGCGCGTGACACAACCAGTTATTAGATTTAGGGGGCAATTACTTTTTCACGTAGGGCCAGGCAGGTTTGGACAGCTTTTTTCCCTTAATAAAATAAATAATCATTTAAAAACTGCATTTTGTATTTACTTGCATTATCTTTGTGTAATATTAAAATTTGTTTGATGATCTGAATCTTTTAAGTGTGACAAATATGCAAAAAATTTAAAAAACAGGAAGGGGGCCAACACTTTTCCACACCACTGTATATATGTCACGAATATCACTCAAAGACTTCGTAGAAGATCCACGTGCAGCTTTAATATAAATCCAAATCATCCCAAACCAAGCAAAGGCAGAAAGCACAAGTAAGATGATCCAGATAACAGGCATCAAGCAAACATACGGAAGACAGGGTGACAATACAAAACCTCAATCTAAAGGCAGAGTAAACATTGGTTATATAGGGTGTGCTAAACAGGTAAATTACACACAGCTGAAAACAATGAGGAATGATAGTCCGGGCAAAGGGTACTGGGAAATGAAGTCCAGTACAAAAACAATGATCTGGGAGGAGTGCCCTCTGGTGGCTGTCATTGGCACACCAGCAGATGGCTATGACATGACCCCGGCTTTAAGGAGCAGATTCCAGACACTCCACCAAGAGTCAAGAAAGTCCGGGGGAGGGATGGTGGGCCAGGCCCGTGTATTGAAAGAGGGCCTGGAGACAGAGGCAGACCAGGGTGCCAGAGCGGAACTGGCAGGGCAGGAGGCCAAGACGGGGCTGGCAGGACAAACCAGCGAGGCTCCAGTCAAACCGGAACGGCCAGGGCAGGGCCAGAGGAATGGACCAGTGAGGCTCTGGCTGAATAGTAACCCCGGCGGGCGACCAGGGCAGAGCCGCAAGCTTGCCTAGGCAGCAAGGCGGAGCTGAAGACCACCTCAGTGGAGGTGGGCTCTGGAGCGGACTTGTAGACTGGAGCAAACTCTGGAATGATCTCGTAGATTAGAGTGGATTCGTAGACTGGAGCAAACTCTGGAATGAACTCGTAGACTTGAGTGGGATCGGGAGTAAACTCATAGACTTGAGTAGGCTCTGTAGTGGACTTGGAGACCTCCCGGACTGGAGCGGGCTCTGAGAGCTCCCGTACTGGAGCAGGCTCTGGAGTGGACTCTGAGGGCTCCTGGACTGGAGCAGGTTCATGAGTGGACTCTGAGGACTCCCGGACTGGAGCGGGCTCTGGAGTGGATTCTGAGGGCTCCCGGACTGGAGCGGGCTCTGGAGTGGACTCTGAGAGCTCCTGGACTGGAGCAGGCTCTGGAGTGGACTCTGAAGCCTCCCGGACTGGAGCGGGCTCTGGAGTGGACTCTGGGACAACAGGAGTGGACTTAGCTGCCCTCCTCCTTCTCGACCTTCACTTGTGAGACAAAAACAGTGAAGCCTCACTATCCTCTGGAGGTGTTGTGGCAGACTCTGCCTTCTCCAGGGGCACTACAATGGGCACAGACTGACCTGGTGCAACTATTAGGCTGCAGTACTGGGGATAGTCAATGAAGCCCCAAAAATCCAGAATCTTAAGTCCCTCCATCTCCCACAGAGGCAAGGGGTTGTCAAGGCATTCATTAAAGATGTTTTTAAGCTCAGCCTTGCAAAGTTCCAGCCCCACCGACATGGTCCAAAATGTCTGAGCTAGGCCTCCTACTCCCAACCCCTGTTGACACAGTGTTGCCAACATCTGGAGGCATGCCCTCAGCTCCTTCTTAGATGCTGGAGGAAGAATCCAAATGCCCATGGTCCAAAAAGCCACGAATACTACCTAGCTGCTGAATCTGTGTGTTGATTGAGGTTTTCTGTCACAAATGTCCCTCAAAGACTTCGTAGAAGATCCATGTGCAGCTTTAATATAAATCGAAATCTTCCCAAACCAAGCAAAGGCAGAAAGCACAAGTAAGATAATCCAGATAACAGGCATTAAGCAAACATACAGAAGACAGGGTGACAATACAAAACCTCAATAATCTAAAGGCAGAGTAAACATCGGTTATATAGGGTGAGCTAAAAAGGTAAATTACACACAGCAGAAAACAATGAGGAATGATAGTCCGGGCAAAGGGTACTGGGAAATGAAGTCCAATACAAAAACAATGATCTAGGAGAAGTGCCCTCTGGTGGCTGTCATAGGCACACCAGCAGATGGCTGTGAGATAGTAAAATACATAGGTGCCTTTAGCAATGATGTTTCTTCTTGCCTTGTAAATACATTCAATTCATGATATTTTTCATAACAAGAAGTGAGTTGAACTGTCCCCAATTTTTCACGTAATTGGCTGTTTGCTGCACATATTCTAGAGTAAACCATAAACACTGGATAAAAACTTGAGCTGACAGAGAATGTTTATTGCGAATGTTGTGAGCCCACTGAACTCATTATAAACCAGGTTGGATTTGTTTTGTCACTAAACCTACCCTTAAACTCAGAGTTTATGTATATTGCTTCATGCAGCAGGACACAGGCAAAAGCTCTAAGCGAAATAGCTGCATACTGAAGAAAGGAAGATCTCATTTTTCAATGCATAGGTGCAAAATGGCATTCAATGTAACACTGCAAGAATCTTACTCACTCTTATGTCTACTGTTACCAATGACTTATATTGTGTTGAGCCCTGGAGATGTTGACAAAAGTGTTGGAACGTGATGTGCTCAGTAATGACATTCTCTAGGGATTAATCTATTAACAGACCTCTACTGCTGATAGGGCAAGTCTGAACATGACTGTTGTTGAAAGGAAGCTTTATATTCGTCATGTATAAGTCCCTTCTTTTAACTTTATAAATCTATAGATTAACGCTTTTCATACATTTCACCTAGATTCATGTCACCACTTCCTCTGTTATCAACTGTCTTGAAGATAAATTCCTGCTGTTGTAGTCTTACAGTCTTGGTTTTAAGGCAGTGGTTCTCAACCGGGGGGTCGCGAGGCCCACTAGGCGGGGAGATGGCTTAAAATTAATTTAAATATTATCCTATAATTGTTTAATTTCATTATTAATGTGTTAAATTAAAACAATGAAAGCACGGCCTCTCTCGGGTTCTGTGATTGATTGCTTCGGACTCGGCGCAACAAGCCTCGTCGCACTGTTAAGAC